TATAGGCTATCCTTTTGAAACCTTCCAGCTGTAAATATTAGTTCTGACAGGAAGGGTAATGGAGACCAGGCATCATGTGCTGTCTCTTCTTTGGGCTGGAAGCCTTTGAACGCCAGAGGCTGCACAAAGAGAGTGGGGAGAGATTACAGGAGACATTTTCAAAGGCATAAAGAGTTCTGAAGGACCCAGCTCCCATTCAAAATCAATGAGAGCTGGACACCTAATTAGCATGGGTACTTTGAAAATCTCCCACTCCTCTTTTATGCAAGTTCCTTGCTATAGAAACAGTACTGAAATAGAAATCTAATTGGGAAAGGCTGTGACTGGGAAACAGAGGTGAGGAACTGGATTAACTGCATATTTCAAGACAGAAACTTTTTTTGGACGTGTTCATTGCACTTGCTGTTGAAATCAAAATCAAAATCTTCACCAGTATGCAAACTCTCATCTTTTTCTCCTTGAATTTCAGCATTTGGACCCCAAAGATGCCTTGTCTTTAGAAATGACTGTGTCATTTTCAGCAATATTAGTTTGCTTTATGTTATCTTGACATTGTTGTCTGTATAAAACAACATAAAGGCACATATCTGTTTTTAGAGGGCAATACATGTTCAGCTTGCCTGTGCCTGATAAAAGGATTCTTTGATAGGCAGGATTGTGTCTGCTTTCAAATCCCAAGGGAACAGTTACAAGAAAGTGGATGATCATTGCCTTCCTGCCACCCTCCCTGTTCTCTCAGGTTTGAACCAAGACCAAGGAATGACTGGCAAGCCAGAACATTGCATCTTCATTATCCTCCAAGATGTAAAGTCAAGGGCCAGATAAAACCACTATGCTTTGGAAGTTGGGAATAGGAGAATGGAGAACCCAAAGATGCTTTGGTGGGGCCTGTTGTATGTGTATCTGCATTACTGTATTATCTACATCCACAAACCAATTTGTTTCAGTCTTAGATATGACTGCCCTTGGACACAGTAAGAGCAGAGATCAGGATTTACACCTCCTTGGCAACAGGTATTTTTTATGCCAGAAACAATTTTGATCTTTCACCCAGAAGAAGCTTTATTCTCTTTGCTTTAAATATAATTCTGGTTTTTGTCATTCTGCCAGCTCATTCGGAGTCTCTGGCTTCGTGCCTCATTATGACACGTTTTCAACTTGCCAATAAAAAAATCTGATGTTGAGCCATTTTGGCAAATGTCTATTATCATCTAGGAAGAAAATTAGGGTCCCACTTGACATATGCCTCTGGTTTTAATCAAACTATTAAGACTCTGATATTGATAAATTGGCCAGAAATTGCTCAAACAGTGACTACTGCTACACTACCACTGTAATAATTAGTTCAATGACAAGAATTACTGTGATGCAGCATGGCAATTTTCCCTTTGACTTTGAAAAGAGAAAATGAAGCAGGCAACACCTAAACTTTTGTAAAATAACTGTATGTTTTAAAATACATTTGGTTTACATTGGGTGAAACCAATCCTTTCTGTCATCACTTGATTATGAAACAATACTTCATTAGGATGTCTTGCATAAGGGGAGTCAGCCTGGAATTTATTCCCTACATCCAGCTAATCTCTCTTGATTTAAGATTTTAAAAATTTCTAGGTAATTGCCTTCTGTAACCCTTCTCACTATTACTTTCATTCAGGTATGCAGACAGACAAACAAGAGAGAGAAAATGGGCCTTATGACAGAATTAATCCTATAAGACCTAATTGTTCCTGTGCTGGTTGATGATTCACATACATTTCACAAAACTTCCTCTTACCTGCTTCCTCATAGAAAAAAATTAAAACTATAAAATTATCAGGACTCCAATCCAATATTGTTTTATTGATGTTTGTCACTTAGAATGTATTTTCACAGCATGGGTCATAGTACTAATGATAATCTTGCATCTTTCAATGCATACAACTCACTGTACACCGTGAAACAGGTAAGTATGTCAAAGTTCTCTGACCTTTTAGGTATAATAAAAATGTTTTAAAGAATAATTGGAAGGAAGACAGTACTGGCTTGCTAATAAACATTTTTTTCTTTTTTAACAGAAGGATTTAATATGTGGATTTAGGAGGGAAATTCTTGTAGATCCCAGAATTTCCAGCACAAGCATGGTTTTGATTCATATAAGTCTCACACTTTAGAAAGTCCCTACTCCTGAGTGAAATTCTACCACCAGCACATTGTCAGAGCCTTCAGGACAGCTTCAATGTCTTGTTTGTCTTACAAAGGAGGGCAGAGTTTGGATCAGTGAATTCAGTTAGGAATTACTTGTCATGGTGATATGCAGCTGGATTTCACTTATCATGCTTTTATTACAGCCTTCTGCAGCCAGATTGCTTTTATTATGGTTTTGTACACGGTTACATTTTGCTTTGTAAACTGGGGAGGTAGTTGAGGATATTTCCCACAATCCATTAAATATAATGATACTCCTGCTTCTCCCACTTCACATTAGTGGGGGAAAAGAATTCCAGCATGTGCACTCTCAGCAACACAGTAGATTTTTAATGGGTCTAATTTAAGAATATTTCATGCCAGGAAGAAGAAGAAGAAAAATGAACTGCTTTGTAAAAATTCTGTTCCTTAAAAAATTCTCTACAAGGACTGAAACATTAAAACAGCAAACACATGAAAAGTACGTCCAAAAGAACAGAAGATCAGATCTGGATCCATTTTGACTTGCACCAAGGGTTTATTTAGCCAAGGCACTTTAGCAGCTGCCATTAGAGATAAACACAGATCAGACTAACCCAGGGAAAGTTCTCTGTTTCACACAGTGCTTGCCATGAGATGTTTGGTGTTAGAGAAGAGGTAGCATCTGTCACAACTTTATACTGAGGTGGTTTGAGGATTTGCACCATGCTATTATATGACCCAATTTTTCAGAACGTGCCAGCTGGCAAATCTGAATCTCCTTGAATTTACTAATATTGGAGACCAATTCTTAACTGTAAAACTGCTCAGATCATCAAGAACTAAGCTTTGTCAGTAGAGGCAAATAAAGAGAATTAGAATGCTTTCTTTCCTCTTTCACATTTGCATTTGGATTTTGCTATTCCAAGGAAAGAAAACACTGTTCTCAAATATGTCATGCACAGAGACAACAATTTATAACATGAATGCTAATAAATAGCTTTTCTTGTAATTCTTCCAGTTTCACCTGTCTCCCTACTCTTAACTAAAAACATTTACAGGAGCTAAACCAGTAGTCTTTTCAGTGTCCATTTCAATGAAGTCACTAATAGCTTAGAGAAATGCCCTGAGTGCTCTCTTGTGTGCTGGTAAGAAGACAGCTATGTATTTATCAAGAAAAGAATGTTTTTTCAGTAGTAAACTCTATTTCAGTAAATATTTTAATTTTTTTTTTCGGAGTAAAACTCATTCTGTCATTAAATACATTATTCATTTAAGAGCATGAGAATAAGGTATTTCCAAATATCCTGCGAAATACCTACACCTACCTGCATCCCAGTTTTTTGGATTTCGGTGCTACAACTCAGGAACAGTTCAAAGTGTGATTACTTTGGAATGTTCAGATGACAACTGTGCAGGCTACATCAAACTGACATGATTTTTCTTTGCAGTTTGCTTGCAGAAGGAATCTCTGTTATAGTTCAGGTTTTTCATTCCTATCTTCTCAATGGTAGAGGTTACAGCTGGACATTTTTTATGTAACTTATATTTAACTCAGAAATATTAACTTAAATTAAAAATAAGAATGAACATTACCAAATTCTTTACATTACATACCTTTATCTAAAGCCAAAGTGGATTCAATTGCTCAAAATATTCTGAATCTGTACAAGCCCACATCCTGTCTGTCTCCAGAAGCACTGTCAAGCAAACATTAAACTCCATCTTTATAAGTGGTTTAGTGAGGAAAAAAAAAACCAAACCAATGCACATTCTTCAGCTTTAAAGCAATGATCATAAAAATTCTCCATGATTTTAAGAATGTAGGGAAGAGACATTATGCATTTTCAATGCATTAATTTACCTTTGTGATGTGAGGCACTGGTCTGGGTCCAACACAGCAGGTAAGAGTGGTGCTTAAGGAAATAGAAGAGAAATACATTGAGAAGAAAGATTCTCTGCAAATGGCAATCCTTGTAGAGAAGACAATGCTTCATTTGTGAAATAATAAACAAATTAATGGATATAATGCATGTGGAAATGCATAGAGAAGTTTAAAGAAACAAGGGAATTGCAGAGCAAACACACTGCCCCTCTGGTGAGGGCCATATCAGAGATCACCTGCTCATAGTGTGCTGTGCACTTCCTCCAAAAAAAGAAAGATAAATTCAGGCACCCTGCACTTTTCAGATCCTGATACCAAACCTACTGAAATTCATCGGTCCCTGACCTTAATGTGCTTTGAATCAGATCCTTAAGAGGAAAAAAAATGTATGCTTGAGAATATTCACTGCCATTCAAGCACTTCCAACACTTACCTTGACAGACAGTGTAACCCAAGCAATTATCCTGCAACGTTGTATGTAAATAATTATCAATTTATGCTGTCCCTGCTCTGACCTCCTGTAATTAGGCTGATGAGGGGTCAGCAAGCAGACCTTACCAGACACTTGCCAACCCTATCTGCAGACTGGTGAATAAGAGTTTTGTTTAGCATTCCTTGAGTTCCCAGAGAACTACAGAGCACAACCACAGCGCCATTTAGAGTGAAACTCGTAGTTCCCAAATTCCAGTGTGAAACAATATTACTAATTTTAAGATTTGAACAGAAAGTATCTTTCTGAATATTTCTCCTTCAAGTGTTTTTGTCATTCTTAATCACAGATGTACCCATAAGGCAATAATATGTTTAAATACTTTTAGATGTTACTTGCTGTAGCTCTTTTTTCTGTTAGATTTTGGTACTGCAGAGAAGCACAGGAATGTGCCTGGAGAACCTTGATCTCTCCAAATTCTACAGGTTTGAAACACCTTCTGATACATTGGTTTCAGGTAAGATTGTCTCCTCTGCCTGTTTACTTGCCAGAATATTGTACTCAGCTTTACCTTCTATATTTCACACTGTAATATCAGAGAATAATCTTTTATTTGTGCTTGTGTTGTAAAAGTATATAGAGATCATATTATTTGATATTATTTTCTCCACATATTTCATTGAAATCTCAGCTGCCAGCTTCCCAGCACTGAGTACAGTACCTTTGAAGCTCAGTGTATCTGCCAACAACCTCTTATTTCAAAGCTTAAATTTCCAGTCATAACTCTAATCTGCAATTTTTCCTGTGGTGCTATTCCACCTGCAGACTATGAAAGTTGAGTTCTGATAGAGGATTAAAGCATTAATAGTATTTATTTATATCTGCATCGATATAATTTTTGGGCGGCTTTACTGAGAATACCAGCAAAATGCCTTTTATTGGCAAAGAAAGCTCAAAGACTGAACTTTGAAGGGCTGTAGAGTTATTTAGCATTCCTATCCCTAATCTGTATCATGCAGAAAGGTTTCCTCTTTCATCTTTCTAACAGAAAAATTGCTTAAAAATATTATTTGCCATTTTGGGATTTTAGGACAAGTAACAAGCGCAGATCTGAGAAAATGTCAAGGTAAATCACACACACAAAGAAGTGGCAACTTCCCACAGGTAAGAATTTTAAATCACAATTCTCCTGTGAATCCTAGAAATCATGATTCTCCTAGAAAATATTACTGGTTGGTTTCCCTTGTATTCATTTTTCCTTACAATAAATTCCCAGCAAATAACTCACTGATAGGTCAGATTTAATACACGAAGTCTGCCAGCACTCCTCACATGACATACCTCATACCATTCACTGGTATGAGAAAATAGTTTTAAAATTATCTCTACTTCTCATACTTCAAAGATTTGCAGGGAAAAAATGGTTATTCATCCAATATATTTAACAGAGTAACACAGAAATTTATGAGAAGCATTCACTTGGTAACTTTAAGAATGAAAGGAAAACTTGCAGTTTAACCCTATGATCTTCTCTGGCTTTCCTGTTTTCAGTGAACCTCAGAGAACTATTAAAACAACACAGGGTATTGCTGGTAGGCCATAAGAACTCCTTATTTCTGCTTAGAATCTGTACAGAAAATGAACTACAGAGGTCAATAAAAATCACTTTATTAGTTTGGTAAGTCTCAATATTCTCTTGATTGTGTTGTCTTAATAACATTTAATATTACTACACTGTATCTTTTTTTTTTCTCCTTAGTCTGTTTGCAAGTTTGGCTGATTAAAAACTGGTATTAAAGTAACTAGTAAATCCTCAGGAATTGCTATCAGGGCTCAAAAAGGAAGCATAGACAGGATTTTATCTCCATCACAAGCTGTATCTGTCTTCATATCCAAGATGCTATCCAGAGTAAAGGTGTGTGATCAGAAAGCAAAAGTACAGCAACTCCATACTAAAGGAAAATTATAATGTAAAATGAGCAGAATGCAACAGATGGAGACAACTGCTGTTACAGACCTATTATATTGCCTCCTCAATTCTGTATGAATATTTATTTCTTACCTGCTGGCTGGAAAGGTAAGTATTTCCTTCAAGGCCTAAAAGGAAGGAGAAAAAAGGGAAAATTAAATTTTAAATGGATTTTTTCCCAATGCTCACAAACCAAAATGAAGCATAGACTTAAATTTATTTTTTTCCTCCGTCCCTTCTATTTCTACTATTTTAATGAGAAACCAAAATGGAAGTACATTACTTTCCTCATTAGATTATCACATACCCATCATTTCAAGGGAAATAGTTTTTTCAGTCATTGAATGAGCAACGGGATGAATGAACCAACCAAACTTTTTTCAAAGCAATGGTAACCAAAGTATTGTTGACTTACACCTTGTTTTCAGCATAAAACTCAGCCTGAAGAAACTTAGTTTATAAGGATAAACCACTAATGAAACACAAATCCAGTATTTGAATCTTCTCAACTGCTCATCCTGCCCTTTTGGATATAAAACATAAAAACATAAAACCAATTCCAGCATAACATGAAAGAACAGAATTCTTCAAATGTTTTTGTATCTATAAAATGCACAGACTTTTGTAAAGCAATATAATGACATCTAGAGAAAAATAAAAACAGTTGCTCATGGTAATTATATGAGAGTGACAGAAAACCTAACAAGATTGGTTATTTCCTTTTAAATTCACCACTAGGTCTCCTGTAGCATAGAAGAAATTACAGAGGGAAGCAGCAAATATTCTGAATGATTAGTCTGTTATTACAGTTGAAAGTGCAATAATCTTTGCTAGATCATTTTCCAGACACCAACAAAGCTGCATCAGGAATATTTCAAAATCCAATATTGGTACACTGTCAGAGATTTTAATTTCATAACAAGCATTTTTTACATTTGCATCATTAGCATCATTTGCAGTTGCTAATGCTGCTTGTTCACAAATTAATGCAAAACTGACTATTTGCTTCCAGCCAACTACCCAGATAACATGATGAACATGAATCAGCATCGGGTGTAAAAGACATTTAAAAATATTTTTATAATTTCTATCCATCTGCAAAACTGGATTAACAACTCTGGGATATATTCCATTGTATCAGGTTCAGAAATCATGGAAACACTGATATCCCTGTAAAATTATTCTCTCTAAGTGGTGGAATTATAAGGATTTGAAAATGTCTCCAAACTATTAGTAGCTTCTTTTGTAATTTTGAGAATATCTTGATATGCAACTGAGTTGTGATTTTTGGAAACATATCAGAATAAGCAAGATAAAATTGGAAAGAAGCTTGTAGGCTGAATATTGCCTAGGCTTTTTTTCCACTATTTGAAAAATAATGAATATAAATTGATGGCGTATGTCCTTAAGTTCATGACACAGCACATTAACTGGAGAACAGATCCCAGTAAGGAATCAAACAAAAGTTATCCACTGAAATTCAGATCTAGAAATTTAGCAGAGTAGAAATCAGAAACAGAGATTGCAAAAAGTGGTAAATATTGTTTTGCGACTAACTGATTTCATGTTCTGATTTCAAGAAATGAAATGATCCCATTCCAAATCCAGCTGCTTTCTCTGGAATAACTATTGATTTCTGAGAAATCTGGAACTGTTAACGAGCACTGGATGTGGCAAGAGATTTATCTGCATGAGGAACATTGCAAATAAGTTCAGGTGGGTGTGTGCATGCTCATATAAGGAAATATTTTAATGTTCTTTTCTTAAAGCCGAGTGGTAGTATTTCAGCATTATGGTTAACATACTGTATGATTTTTAAGATATAATTGTCTTTTTAGCTACAGAGGAAAGGGTGGATTTGCTAATGTTTGTCAGACAACTGGCCCATTTTTAAATGATTGTTCTCTTGGCAAAGTCTGATATCAGGGGAACAGAACTGTAACATGCAGAGCATTGGACACTGCAGGAAATAGTGCAAACCAAGGCTCGATTACTCACCAACAGTTCCAGTAAACTTTTTATAGTTTAGGCACCACATAGCACGAATTCTTGTCTGTCAAGCCCTTATTGAAGAGAGTGGGAAGCAAGAATAGGTCGCTCACTTATCCAAGTGATGGATTCTCCTGTGTTGGCTACAATACTTGCTACCAAGTCCACAGATTTGCTTCCATCTGTCTTGAAGAGCTATAAATGTCCCTGCTAAGTCCTATGATCCACTGTCAAGGTCTATATAGGGCATAAAGAAAGAAGGATGATGATTTCCTTGATGGAATCCCATCATCTACCTCTAAGCAACCTGTGAGATGTTAGCAGTGAAGGAATTTCTTCTTGCTCCCTGACCCTTAATAGGCAATTAGCTTTTACTTCTTAAAATTATACCATGTTCCTTATTTTAGTTTATCTAACTTGAAGTGTTAATTATTGGTCACGAAATTACCCTTTTGAAAACTGCCCAAAAGAATTTCATACTCTAAACTTCTGCATCTTTGATTTAAACAGATGGACTCCGAGCTTTTGAGTATCCTACTTTTTTTTTAAGTGTTATAGCTTTAATTATTAAAATATCAGTCTTATATTTAAGGATAAAATGTGTGTCTATATGTCTACACCAGTATTAATGGCATAGGATCAGAGCAGGTTAGCATTCAGCTAGGAGACATTTGTCTCGGATCCCACAGTGGTCAAGTGTGATGCACACAAATTACAAATATGCTGCTGCTCTGAATGGTCTGTGATAGTGCTCCCAGCTCACAGAGCATTATCTGAGCACTATCAGAGTGCTCTGCAGCTCTTTCAAGTCCTGTCTACACACAGATACTTCCTTTTCAACTGCAGCTGCCACACTGAGCAGAGCACGGGCCCTCACGGTGTGACCTGAGCTGACAGGGCTACTTGCTTGCCTGTATTTTCATAGGGACAGGGATGGCAGGAACCTCCCCTCTGAAGTCAGCAAATCCACACTAATTTCCAGCAGACCAGGAGCTGGCTCTTAACATACTTAGCTGCTTCTTACATGGTTTATTTGTGGAAGGCTCAATAACTCTACTATCTGCTGAAGAGGAAAATGCACATCTAAGCATAATAGAGCAACTTGAACATTGTTATTACAGCCGAGGTGCCACGTTCAGCGAGATCAATGCTCATATTAAGATGTTTGTTAATGAAACCCCCTGGCATATGGCTAATTTATGCTTCTCAAGCAGCTCCTGCAGGCTGGCTACTGTGACTGTCATAAAATATATAGGTGTGCAATTCATCTGGCTAGATTAAAATCGTGAACTCGTAGCAAGCACATCAAAGACAGCTTTATACCTGCTCTGTGGGTCTGCACAGCAAAGATAGAAAATGCAATTTCACTAACTCTCTTATTTAATTAAAGAAAGGAAAAAGAAAAACAAGTGGAGCTGTTATAAGAGTATCAATCCCACCTGATTTACAGGACTTTGATGATCAAATTCAGTACTAAGTATATCAGAACTTGGTAAGCCATTGAGAGAACCAAATTGGCTGACTGGCATCCCAGTGGGCAGATTAATCCGTGTGAACTCTTCCATTGAGTGTATACTGCCCAACCCTCTAAAATAGTACTTTTTGTAGTATAAGAGACCTGAGTGATTTTTGTAATTAAAAGTATTTTAATAATCTATTCCTCAGCTAGAAGGACCTACAGTCAAAATGTCAACTTTAATCTTGTTTTGGTATCAGGTTTCTTCTTAAAAAAGATTCTCCCTACACTGAAGCAGCCCTAAATTTGTTTCTGTTAAGAGGTGGGGAGGCTGATTGCAGAAATGACTAAGCTATTTTTTGCTACAGGTATTTCAGTTTTTCTCTGAAATCTAATTTCAGCAAACAGGTACATACCAGTAAGGAACACAGAGGAACCACGACCTAGAGAACACTAGAGAAGATGAATATTTAAAATATGGGCAGATGAGGTGGCCTCTGTAGACTCAGTCAGAGCTGGGGCATGGATATGAGCAAATGACATTAACAGGCTGTTGGCTATTTTCAGGTGGCACTCTGCCACCACCTTTGCTCCTTCCCTTACTGGAGACAAAAGGTTCACTGCAGAGGATAAAAATAAATGAAAATTTGCATGTTCTGATACAGAAATCTCCAAATCCTGAGCAGTGCCTGTATATTTTGCATTATAATGACTTGGAGCCTTGGAGCTCAGAAACCATGGGAGCCTTAAGCAGAGGCAATTCACTCCTTCAGTGACACTGATAAAATCTGTTGATGCCAGGAAGAGTTCTAAAAAACCCTGCTGAATCCCTGAAGGGCATTAACCCTTGTTAATGGCAGAAATTTGAGATCTGTGATCATGGTACAGCACAATATATTGTTTCCAGTCAATCCATCTGAATGCTGGTGTTTCTCAAAGTACAGTTCCCTTCTGGGATAAACTGCCCAGAATTATAGATTTTGGGAACAACCTGCCTGCTCAGTGACATTGGTATTCCTGTCAGCTTCTGTGCCAACAGCAGCAGGAAAGCTGAAGAGAATGCCAATGAAGCAGGAGAGCTGCTTCATTACATGTTTTGGTGGATTTGAATCAGAATTCTACATGTTCTCAATTAGTAGGAAAATTTGAAATTGCAACTTTAGGCAGATCTAGATCAAAACAAAAATCAGTAAAACTCGAAATTTTCTGTGAAACAGCAATCCTGTTCCTTCTATTGGCTTTATTATTCACATCAAAAAGATCTGTGGAAACAGCAAGAACAAATTTTCATTTCATCCTGCCATAGTGCTGGGCAGAGTTGCAAGTTTCCAAGTCATGTTCTCGTCCTCGTGCTATACAAAATAGGATTTTATCAGTATGAACAAGTCACAATGAGAAGCAAAAGAAAATAAACCAGTAGGCTATACCTACTCCTGAAAGGTGAGCTCTCTGCATAAATGCTTCTGTTGAAAAACATACCCCTAAAAGTGAAAAGAATCTAAAATGTGGGATATACAAATGTGTTATTTATGCCACAGTGCTTTTATTCATTGCATCAATAATTTTGCTTGCAGAGACACAGGTAGATGATTACCTTTAAAAGGAGTCCTGGTGCTCTATTTGTAGCAGGTTGAATTTCATCATAAAAATATCAATTTTCTCATGTTGCCTCAAGCTTAAATAGC